AGTATGGAGATTTCTCAAAAAATTAAGGATAGAACTACCATACGATCCAGCTATTCCACTGCTGGGTATCTATCCAAAGAACGTGAAAACACCAATGCGTAAAGATATATGCACCCCTGTGTTCATTGCAGCGTTATTCACAATAGCCAAGACTCAGAAGGAACCTAAGTGCCCATCAAGGGACGAATGGATAAAGAAGATGTGGTATATATACACAATGGAATACTACTCAGCCATAAGAAACGATGAAAGCCAGCCATTTGTGACAACATGGATGGACACTGAGGGTGTTATGCAAAGTGAAATAAGTCAGAGGGAGAAGGTCAAATACTGTATGGTCTCACTCATTAAGTAGTAGATAATAACAACAACAAACGAATACATAGAGACAGAGGTTGGATTGGTGGTTACCAGAGGGGAAGCGGGGAGGGAGGAGAGTGAAACGGATAATTAGGTACCTGTGTGTGGTGATGGATTGTAATTAGTATTTGGGTGGTGAACATGAGAACATGATATAATCATGCAGAAATAGAAGAATAATGATATACACCTGAAATTTATACAATGTTATAAACCAATGTTACCACAATAAACAAGCAAAAAAAATAATTGACATTCTTTAAAGAATTGATTTGCTCTTAAAGAATTGATATTCTTCAGGCTAAAGGGGAATAATACTACAGAAAAATCTAAAATGAAGAAGAGCAATAGAAATGGTAAATATTTGGATAAATGTAAAAGACTATTTTCTTGAAAACACGTGTACTGCTGAAAGTAAAGATCATAACATTGTCTGTTGTGGTTTTCAATGCATATAGATGTAATATACATGACAATTAAAACATAAAGAAAAGAAAGTAACAAAAAAAGTGTTTTTGAGAGGACAGAGTTAGTTTTTAGTTTGCAGTAACTTAACATCAGTTAAATTGCAGCTATAGAAAAGTAACCTACAGGGAAACTGCATCCCCATTACCTCAAATGTGTAATATTGGATTAAGCATTCCTGTGATGAAAAATAACTGTATTCTTTCCACTAGATGGTAGAACTGGATTAACCAGGAAATATTTAGTTAACAATATTTAATGAAATTAAATTACTCTTATTGCCAAAAAAAAAAAGAAAGAAAAGGTCAACAAAATCAACAAACCTTTAGCTAGACTGACCAAGAAAAAGAAAAGACTCAAATTACTAGAATCAGAAATGAGAGCAGGCTTCAGTATTGATCTTAAAGAAACAGAAAAGATTACAACGGAATACTATGAATAATTGTATGCCAACAAATTAGATAATTTAGATGAAATGGACAAATCTCTAGAAAGACACAAACTACCAAAACTGACTTAAGAAGAAATTCACAATCTGAATAGATCTATAAAAAGTAAATATATTGAATTAGTAATAATAATAAACTACCCACAAAGAATTGCGCATCTCAGGTGGCTTCACTGCGGTATTCTACCAAACATCTAAAGAAAAATAAACACCAACTCTTCAAAAACTCCCAACAAAAAATAGAAGAGGGAACACTTCCCAATTCATTCTTTGATGCCAATATTAACCTGATACAAAAGCAGACAAGACATCACAAGAAAAAAAACTACAGATCAATATCTCTTATGATTATGGACACAAAAATCCACAACAAAATACCAGCAAACTAAATCCAGTAATATATAAAAATAATTATACACCACGACCAACTGGGATTTATCCCAGGAATACAAGATTGGTTTAATTGATCCAAAAATCAATTAATATAATAAATCATATCAATAGAATAAAAAACCAAAATCACATGATCATCTCAATTGATGCAGAAAAAGCATTTGACAAAAATCTAATATCATTTCATGATAACACTCAACAAAATAGGAGTAGAAAGGGTTGTCTTCAACCTGATAAAGGGCATCTATGAAAAACCCACAACTAACATCATACATAATGATGAATGACTGAATGCTTTCACCCTACTGTGAGGAACAATACAAAGATGTCCACTCTTGCCACTTCTATTCAACATTGTAGTGGAGATTGTAGCCAGGGCAATTAGGCAAGAAAAGGAAATAAACAGCATCTAGATTGGAAAGGAAGAAGTAAAACTATTGCTATTTGCATATAACATGATCTTGTATATAAAAATCCTAAATAATTCACTAAAAAACTATTAGAACTAATAAACAAGTTGAGCAAGGTCACAGAAGATCAATATACAAAATCAATTGTATTTCTATGCATTTGCAACGAACAATCCAAAAATAAAATTAAGAAAACAATTCCATTTACAATAAAATCGGAAAGAATAAAATGCTTAGAAATGAATTTAACAAAAGAAGCACAAAACTTATACTCTGGGTGCTGGCCCCGTGGCATACTAGTTGAGTTTGCCCACTCCGCTTTGGCGGGCCAGGGTTCAGATCTGGTTCAGGTCCCCCTAGTGGGGACCTACACACCACTCACCAAGCCATGCTGTGGAGGCATACAAAGTAGAGGAAGACTGGCACAGATGTTAGCTCAGGGACAATCTTCTTCAAGCAAAAAGAGGAAGATTGCCATCAGATGTTAGCTCAGAGCCAATCATGCTCACCAGAAAAAAAAAAAAATCTTACACTTTGAAAATTACAAAACATTGTTGAAAGAAATTAACCATCTAAATAAATGAGAAAACATCCACATTCATGGATTGGAAGACTTAAAATTGTTAATATTGCAATACTCTTCAATTTAATCTATAGATTCAATGCAATCCTTATCAGAATCTCAGCTGACTTCTTTGTAGAAATTGACAAGCTGATTCTAAAATTCATATGGAATTGCAAAGGACTCAAAATAGCCAAAACAGTCTTGAAAAAGATGAACAAAGTAGGAGGACTCATACATCCTGATTTCAAAACTCACTACAAAGCAACAGCAATCAAGAAAGGGTGATATTAGCACAAGCATAGACACATAGATCAGTAGAATAGAATTGGGAATCCAGAAATAAAACCATGTGTCTATGGTCAACCGATTTTCAACATGTGCCAAGACAATTCAATGGGTAAAAAAATAGTCTTTCAACAAATGGTACTGGGATAACTAGATAGCCACAAGCAAAAGAATCAAGTCGGAACCTTACCTCACACCATATAGAAAAGCCAACTCAAAATAGATCAAAGACCTAAAAGTAAGAGCTAAAACTACAAAAAGTCTTAGAAGAAAATAGGGTAAGTCTTCATTACATCAGATTTGGCAAAAGAGTCTTAGAAAGGACACCAAAAGCATGAGCAACCGATGAAAAAAAAAGATGATTTTGTCTTCACCAAAATTAAAACCTTTGATGCTTCAAAGGACACAATCAAGAAAGTGAAAACACAACCAATAGAATGAAAGAAAATATTTGCAAATCATATATCTGATAAAGGACTTGTATACAGAATACATAAAGAACTCTTACAACTCAATAATAAAAAGACAAATAGCCCAATTTAAAAATGAGAATATTATATGACTAGACATTTCTCTAAGGAAAATACACAAATGGCCAATAAGTACATGAAAAGATGCTCAACATCATTAATTGCAAGGAAAATACAAATCAAAACCATGCAATGAAATACCACTCCACACCTACTAGGGTGGCTAGAATCCAAAAGTCAGGTAATAACGAGTATTGGTGAAGATGTGGAGAAATCAGAACCCTCAAACTGCTGGTAGAAATGTAAAATGGTGCAGCCATTTTGGAAATAGTCTGGCAGTTCCTCAAAATGATTAAATGTAGAGTTACCATGTGATCTAGTGATTCCACTTCTAGGTATATATCCAAGAGGAGAAATAAAATCACAGGCCCACACAAAAACTTGCACATGAATATTTACAGCAGCTTTATTCATAATAGCCAAAAAGTGGAATAACTGAAATGTTCAACTGAGGAACACATAAACAAAATATGGTATAACCATATAATGAAATATTACCCAGCCATAAAAAGGAATGAAGTATTGATATATGCTACAATATGGATGAACCTTGAAACATATGCTAATTGAAAGAATTCAACACAAAATGCCAAATATTTTATGATTCTATTTATAGGAAATGTCTAGAATAGGAAAACATAAAGACAGAAAGATTAGTGGTCACTTAGGTCTGGGAGAGATGGGGACTGGGGGGTTGTGACAGCTAAAGAGTACAGGGCTTCTTTTTGAGGTGATGAAAATGTTCTCAAATTGAATGTAGTAATGACTGAATGTATCTGTGAATATATTTAAAACCACAAAATCGTACACTTTAAATGGGTGAATTGTATGGTATGTGGATTATATCTCAATAAAGCTGTTAAAAAATTATTGTTTCAGAACATTAGACCAAACTGGTTGAAATATTACCAGGAAAGATGATGCTGAATATATCAAATTGAAACTGTATTATTTTTTAATCAACGTTTCCAAAATATACGTATATTGCCTGTAGGTGACACTCTTCCATTTTTTCCACTTTCTTCTACTTTACAATGCATATTAGTACAGTGATAATCAGGATAAAAGTATAAAAAGCTATAATAATCAGCTATAAATTTGTGGAAATACACACAGAGAGAAAACCTGGGACCACATGCTTTAGGCTCCTAAAGGCCTCCCTGAGGAATTTTGGCTCCAATAAAGGAACCACAGAAAGACGCTAATAACCAAGAGCCGCCTCATATCATTGAAGGTACAGCTACGGTCCTGCTCCACACACCCTCCACTCCACCCTGGTCCCAGTCCAATTTAAAATTATGCCTCCATAGGTTGAAATGCAAAGATAATGTGTCTTATTCTGTTTGAATTAGTGGAAAGCTAAGTTATAAATGACACCAATCCCTGAGAAATCTGGCTATCACGCACAAACCTGGAAAACCTGCACATCCTCGAGTTTAAAAATAAAAATAGTCAGTCTATTGGCTACCATTAAACCTTATTAGGGAACAGAACTCTGAAGCTTCAGAACGTGGAACCACAGCTTTCATCAGACTTCACCTCACCCTGAGAAAAATTGAGTCCTCCAACTCCATCGATGGTGCCAGCAGCAAAACTGTAGCCCAATGCTGGTTTACATGTTTTTGCCTATGGAAAGATTTTCAAAACAAAACAAAAAACCAGAAGTTGAACTTCAAGTAAATCATGAGATCAGCCCAGAGCTTTACCCTTGTAGTATAATCAGTGTGACCCAGTGTCACTTACCACATGTGTGGAATTGAGCCAAATGGTGACATCCGTCATATTCACCCACTGATGAGCTGAAGCCAGTGATCCAGTTACTTCTTGGGAGGCAGAGGCATACAGTTCCTAGAAAATCCATACAGGATTACTGTTATAAAATGAATACTACCAACTGTACCCAATAAGTATCAATTTGGAAAAGCATCTCTCAGCCATGTTTTGTTTTGCTGGCTGCTTAGAAATAGCCACTATGCACATGGATCTCTCTACTAACCCCAACTGCTTCCCAGAAGTTTGAAGGTCTTGAGACTGTTGACCTGTGTCTATTTCCGACAAATATGAAATTCTAGTGTTACAGGCTGTGGCACAAAAAGGCCCCAATCTCACTTGAAAGACAGTCAAGAAAATTTAAGGTTAAGAGTAGGTAGGCCAAATCACTTCCTCTTCCAGAATGAGAGTGCCTCCTCAGGTATTCTTATGGAGTTTTCCTTCTCAGAATCCTTGAGTTCTTTAGCAGGGCTGGTCCCAATGGGTGCCTTGAAAGACTTCAGGTCCCAATTAATTGGCACCAGCTCCCCCACCCACAATCCACCTTCTGATGTCCTTTTTTTCTTCCTTTAAGTAAGGTCAATTGATGCTTTTTCAATCTTACAGGAAATGTGAGTCAAAACATGTATAGAAATATTTGTTTTTATTGATCTATATCATACAATATAGGCAAATCTTGCTTCAGCACAAGTCCCTTTGCCTGACATCTAAGTCATTTCCATTGTGTCCCCATCCCAGTTTCAACAGCCACATGGGAGCTCACAAGATAAGTCGTCAGTAATGACAGCTGCAGCCTGCCTCCTCTGATTAAGAGAGAAGTTGTGCCTTGCTGAGAAGAGAATTCAGAATGTGGGACAAATCTCTATGGCTCCCAGGCCCAGAACGCTAAAATTTCTGACACCAAATTGTGTCACGGGTGCACACTCTAAATAGAATCTGTTAATTTAGAACAATCTACTGATAATACCGCAGTAATTAAAAAGAAACTGCAGCAATTAGGCTGGCTGGTGTCTGATGTTTTCAAAAGTGATTTTGTGCTTCCTTAATTTGTCCTGAAACATTTTAGAACACTTGGAACAAAATATTTACTTAAACACACACACACACACAACGCGACAAAGGTATGAGAAAGCTGTAAAAAGGGAGAGAATTATCTTTATCAGAAATATCTCAGCTCGAGGTGATCCTTTGTCTTTTCAGTCAGAAATCTGTCACCATAGGAACTTATACAAAATATAGGGGCAAAACGGAAGACAAAATTTAGGAGAGGGAGGAGAGTAGACTAATTCGTAGTAATCTCTCTGGAGACAAGATTCTCTCTTCATCAAAAAATATTTTAAAAAGAAAAGAAAATATAGGATGGATGATCTTTGCCCTAGTGAAAAAGACTAAGAACTAATTTGAATCCAAATTGTGCGAGCTGGGAGTTGTACCATTCAGCTTTACCTTGACACGGAAGGAAAAGTTAAGAAATGTTCAGGTGACTTGGCAGGCAAAGGCCTGAGAAACTTCTGAGAATTTGGATAGGTCTGGTCATATCTGATACCATGTGAACTGAAAACCTTACAATCGCTCTATCATCTCACTGTCTGAAGCGAGCGCTATGGCTGAAATAGAATGTTTTCCTGATTACTTGGTTTTAAATGTACTTCCTGTAAGAAGTCAGACCAAGTAGTCAGAGAGAGGCTCCTGTGTAGCTTGTGAAAGCAACATTCCTCACTGACATGTCTCCACATTCAGTCTTCCAGACTCCTCTGGGCAGCTGGAGCTTCGGCTGTCTTCCTTACAATTATCAGCTCCCTAATGAACAATGTCAGTGGATTTTAAAGAACAATTTCAAATGAAGATGAAAGAAGCTGGGCTCATGGCTTACCTTTGCTCTCTGATATATGATCCGTCCTATAATTTGTGTGCTGTCGAACATATCCCGTCCAGGTCCCATAGCAATGCACTTGTCAGGCTGGGACAAAATGAGACAAGATGGGTTCTTAGTGAAATAATCAATTAGTTTAAGGAATGGAAAATTAAGCAAATAGATTTTTTTAAGCCACATTCTAGCATTTCTCTTCAGATATTCTCTCAATTCACAGATCACGAAAAACAAAATCATTCACAGAATTGGAGCAGTGAATATCTTTAGAAATAATCTATTCTAGCACCTCACTTTTAAAAATAAGGAAACCAAGGCTCAGGGGGGTTAGAGAATTTGTTGGAGATTACACAGGTAGCTGATATCTGAGCTAAGACTTAACGCCAAGTCTCTCCATTTGCTGCGCATCTTTCTACTTGCTGTTCTTGCATATAGTTCTTGCTCATGATCGTCTTAAATTGAAACTCAGTTAAAAATTATATTAGAACAACTAGCTGACCCTCTGGAAAAAAATCAGTAAATAAATCTGGTCTATATCTTACTTCTTATCTCAGAAAACATTGAGATTGATCAGATACTCAAATATTATAAATAGAACCAAAAAAGTATGGAAAGAAAATATGACTGAATATATTGTAAAGTCTAAGAGCGTGGAAGACCTTTCTAAAAATTATATAGAACAGGCTTAATAAATTTGACAGTTTAAACATTTTAAACATCCATATGGAGATAAAAAACGTAACAAAAGCCTGGAAAAACTGATAAATGATGGGGAGATGAGTTTGCACTGTTTATGACAAGCTAAGACTTTAATATATTATCATATTGTATATTTTTGTTTATTATACTAACATATATAAATAAGAAAAAACCATATTAATAACATTTGATCCATTCATATTGAATTGGGTTTTCTCTTATTTGCAGTAAAAAGCATCCTATATTTGTGTCAAAATCATCACATCATACACCTTAAACTTATACAATGTTATATGTCAATTACATCTCAATAGAGTGGCAAAAAAAAAGCATCCTAATGGATACATCATGGAATACAGATGAAAAAGGTAATTCACCAAAAAAGAAAATGTAAATTGCCATTCAATATTAAAATATGTTCAACTTCATGAGTAATTAAATACATGTTTAAACTACAAAGAAAGAATTCTTTGCATACTGTGTTGGCAAAAATTGAAAGACTAACAAACCTAGTGTTGGTGAGAGTTTGGGGAAACTGTCACTCATGTACTGTGGGTGGAAATGTGACTGAGAGAGCATTTGGGCAATGTGTAGTGTATGTTCGAGGTGCTTTCTCTTTGACAGCAAACTCACTTTTAAGAATTTGTCCTAAGGTGAAACTCATACACGTGTGAAAATATTTATGACAAGCATAGTGACTATAGTATGCTTACATGAAGGGAGGAAAAAAACAAGGGAGAGAGAGTGTGAAGGAAGAAAGGAGGGAGGGAAAGAAAACACTCAGGGGATTGGGTAACTAAATTATGGTACTTAAAATTGAAAATTATGGAGTTAGTTTAAATGATGTTTTAAAGTATATTTACTGGAAATAAGGAAGAAGGTTACAGAACAGCATTACAGTATGACCTCATTTGTGCAAAACTGTACATGGGTATATACACGTAGAGGCATAACAAGTTGTCCGGAAGGACGTTCGTTAAAACATTAACAGTGAGGTTAACTGTGGGCTGAGGAGGTACTTCTTTACATAAGTTTTATTTTCTGAACTTTTCAATATTGTTTGGATTTTTAACAAGCATATATCACTTTTTAAAAAACGTTAAAAGTTACTTTCTAAATTCAAAAAGTTATTTTCTTAGAAACCGCATTAAAGAAGAAGACCTGGCAACGTTTGCCCATTTCCCTCTTTGTCTTAAGCGAATCGTAGTTTTGTTCAGAAAGTCATCTCTCCCCTGCAGTCAATGATCTCATTCCTGGTTCCAGGTAAGTCTAAGGTGATCATGGTGATCCCTAGGCCTTGCCAAAGACTGGTCAGGCTTAAGCCAATCAACAAGTACAATTCCCCCAGCAACTGCTTTGGCCCAGGCACTGGCATATGGCAAAAACTGACCCAATCAGACGGAAGAGGACTTTTACTCCCTGGTTGAAGTTTTCTTTCTCTTCTATTGTATATGGGGGAAAAAAGCATATACTTTCCTCACTGCTGACTGCATCTTGCAAACATGAGGGGAATAGAGAGAAACAGAATTCTGTTGTGGGAGGGGCTATGATTTTTGTTGTAATTTTTTCTGATTGTAAAGCAAAGTATGCCCATTGGGTAAAAAATATAAAAATGCATAAATAGAGTAAAAATAATAAAGAACTAAAAATCAAATGGAATAAACGCCACCTATAACAGTGCCAAATGGTTAACAATTCAGTGTGTTTCACTTTGTCTTTTTACTGATACATTTATTTTCAAAACCACAATCATAATGAATATGCAGGATTAAATCCTGAATTTCTTACTCAGCATTGTGTATTATGAGCTTTTTCTCACATTAAGTATTCCAACAAGACATTAAATTGATGTATAATATTCTATTGAAAATAAGTATCATAATTTATTTAACCATTTCATCTATGAATTTTGGAATTTAACAAGTAATCTTAAAATTTAATGTGAATTAATAATGTGTGAAATTTTTGCAAATAAAGGGTAACAAAGGAAGACTTTCTATATAAAAATAGTAACATATAATATAAAAGTATAGTTGTTAAAACTATATTGCTTATTGGGTGGGGCTGACTAGAACACAATAAATAGCCCAGAAATAATGTTTAATAAAACTAATATAACAGGTGAAATGTTCTATAAACACAAAGAACACGAACCCAGAAACTAGTATCTGCTGCTCACGTCAAAGTTGAAAAAAATCTAAATGAACGTGCAGGGGAAACGGTTAAATACATGACAGTACAGCCTTAGTTGTTGTCTTTAAAACTTACCACACAGATGTGTATATAGTCATAAAAAGATTTTTAAGATAAATTAGATGGAAAACTCTGTGAGAAATGTCTCAGGCAGACAGTTTTTGGTACTAACTTGTGACTTCAGAAATGCCAAGGCAAAATGTTTCAGACTGTCCAATTTTGGGGAAGGATATTTAATCTCTGACATTTACTAAATTGTCTCACCATTCAAAACACTTGACAGTCAATCAAATGGAAAACTATAGTTTTATCCAATCAAAATTCAGTGGCTGCCTTTGAGAAGAGCAAATGCTAGAGGTAAGTAGACCAGCATATACTTGAGGAATACATATTTGTAAATTAATGATGAATATTTAAACATAAAATGTACATGAGACGCAAAAACAAAGATTTCACTTCGTAATTACCTACCCCTCCGATGGGACAAGAGCTATTGGCATTATCACAAGACTCTCCCGTGTTGACGCAATGTGGGCCAAGAATATTGGGGGACACATCTCCCAGGTTTGATGAAGCAAAAGCTGCTACATATGGTCCCTGCCAAAAGAAACATCCAACGGCCTTTTATTCTTTCCCATTTCCCACAATGACTTCTATTAAAAATGCGAACATTCAATCCACTCCGGTGAACTATTCAAAATCATTTATATACAATAAAAGGAGGATGTACAATATTCTAAGAATTTTTTTCTGGAAAGGCTCACATTGCAGTCAGCATACATATTATTACTCATGATATTCCAATTATCAATAAAGCTGCTTTAAGTAGGAGTGTTTCAAATTTGTGCCTCAAACAAAAACACTTTGACAAGAAACACAATGTGCAACAACAAATTATAAAAGGCTGAAACGTCAATCTAGTCTCTGCTGTTGTACCTGGGGAGCTCAGAGATCCATCTGCCCTTAAAAATAAATATCCTATTGGTTCAAAAAGAGAAGAGACAATCCAGATTTTGCTTTTGCACAATTAAACCTAAATATAGCATCCACCATCCAGTCCTGCCCTCCATGTATCTTTTCTCTACCTCTTCAGTCTGAAGTAACAACACGTAACCTTTTCGAGGAGTGTGAGGCATTAACGTCAACCCAAATGGTCTACCATTCTACCTTAAATGTCTTAAATTTTCTTAGGGAAAGAGATAAACAAGTATCAGAGATCATATGTCCTTTTTTAATAGTGAAAAGATAATTTAGGGGCCAGCCATGTGGTGTAGTGGTTAAGTTCAGCACACTCTGCTTCCGTGGCCCAGGTTCATGGGTTCAGATCCCAGGCACGGACCTACGCACGGCAACTCACATACAAAATAGAGGAGGATTGGCACAGATGTTAGCTCAGGGCTAATCTTCCTCAAGCAAAAAGAGAGGAAGATTGGCAACAGATGTTAGCTCAGGGCGACTCTTCCTCAGGGAAAAAAAAAAAAAAACCAATTTATCTCAAAATGCCTAGCACCCAGCCAGTGATCATAAATGGGACTATCCTTTCTTTTCCCTAAAATGCAGGCTAAAATGAAAAAAGAGTTTTGTCCACAAGGAGCTAAAAGACCAGACCAAATGTTCATGGGGATAATATCTTTGTAATGAAACATTTATTCTAGGCAAGGGCCTGGGGCTCCCATCCCATCATATGTTTTTCTGCATTTGTGGCTTGGACACTGGGATCAAGCAGAGCAGGGTCTCTCTTCCCACTCATCTATCTGTAATCAATAACTTACACAGAGCTGAGGAGTTGCCTGGCATGCACGGACTGGGTTCCAGGGCCCCCATCTCTGATCCCATCACTCACTGCATTTCAAAGTTACAAAAACAAGTTTAATAGATTAGGGTTGTCTCTGGCTTAGGCCTTAGTGCAGGGAAGTAGACACGAAGTCCTTAAAAGAAAAGTCACCACTAAGAGGGAAGTCTGGACCAGCGAAAAGGACTCATCACCTGTCATTCAGGTTCTTACTCTATCAAGAGGGTGCTTAATACTTTTACAGCTCTGAAAACAAAAGCAAATATCAACACACACTCCCAAGTTGACCAAAAATTATTACATATTGCAAAAATCTTTAACTTGCCCTTCCTTATCCAACAAATTGTAAGTTTACAAAACCATCAATATAAGTAGATTTGACACAAAATTTCTTAGTCATTTTTACTTTTAATTTTCCTACTAGGGAGGATGGAGAATTCTTTCTATCCAAGCATATCAGTGTGACGTCCATGATGACACTTTACTCTGAAGATTTGAATCAGCTATTCTGAATATTGTATGAATGATGATACTCAATGAATTAGTATTGAATTAATACTCAATGAGTATTATTCATACTCAATGAATAATACTCAGTGACATAAATTCTCACCTCTCCAGGTAGATATCCTTTGTTCTTTTCTTGCTCGAAAAGGTAAGATGCATAGCCCATATTGTCGCTATTTACAAGGTGATTGCTGTTGTTCATGCTGACTGGGTGGATGGCAAACCAGCTATAACAGAGCAAGAAGCCCTAAGTCAGTGAAGAGAACTAGGTAACTGGGGCCAAAAATGATGACTGGGATCTTAAGTTTTCTCCTTCAAGAAAAAAAATATTTTAATGATAGGCATTTCACATTTAGTTTCTTTCATTGTTAATGAGATTAAATCACTAATAATATACTCAAGAAGTCTGATCATTTAACTTAAATTAAACATACAAAACTCTATCTTTATGAATATTTCACTATCATCATCTTCACTATAAGCTTTTAACAAGAGCTAAGACTGGTCAGTTACCAGATGATAAACTTGAAGAATTGTATTGGACAAAAGAATTGTAAGGACAAAAGAATTTGTCCTTCAAGACAGGCACACACATGATAATTACTCAAATCAATCCAATCCAATTCAGTGGACATTTACTGAGAGTCTGCTGTGTGCCAAGCACTGAATAAACTACAGTTTACTCTCAGAATCTTGCAGAAGACAAAGATGTGAACAAATGGCTTTAATACAGTGTGACAAAAGTTATAAAGAAACAGGCATAAAGTGTTTGGGGACGACAGATGACTAGAAATTAATTCTTAAGGGCATGCTAGGAAGAGGGAACAGCAGAGTAAATGCACAGAGGTGTGAAAGAGGATGTGATGCATAATTCAATATATCCTTATGCACAGTAATACCTTGTTTAAGTGTAGAGCTATACAGTTTACAAGCTAATTTCACATCTGTTACCTTATTTGAACTTCACAACAACCCTGAGAGATAGGCTGTTATTACCTTCACTCTGCAAGGTGTCTCAGAGAAGCAGTATGGTGGCCCACTTGTCACAGAGGACCAAGACTCAAGTTTGGGTCTTGTGACACTTTGTTCAGTGGCCTTCGTAGGATCAAACCTCCACACAGGTGAAAAAGATGTTTACAGAATGGGAGGCTGTAAGCAGATTAACTTAAATGCTGAAGAAAAGAGAGATGCCAATTCATAATGTTTTGGGCTAATTTAGAATTTTTAAAAATCTTTCATTGATCTAATTCTTCTCTGAAAACTTAAACATTTCAGCTTACATTCCTACCTAAGTAATCTAGTGCACAAAACTGAACATTTACTCAATGACTAGGGATGTTTTTGGACTTCAATTTCCTCACTCAGAATTCAGTTCTCACTGCCCAACAGATATATATGTAGGTCAGAGGTGGCCAGCACAATGCCCACGGGGCCTGGGTAGGTAACGTAAACGAGTTAGCTGGTGGGTGCAACAGGGAGTGGTGTGGACTGTGGCAATCCGCAGGCATTTGCCTGGTCTGAAGGCTACAGCCTCTACTATGCTACAGCCAAATGTTGCCTTAGGGGAATGTAAGCCAGTGCTGCCAGACCTTCCTATCTTTTCAAAAGAAACCACAAATCCATATTTTTGTGAAATATTTATCTATTTAAAAATTCTTAAGGAAGTAAATGGCATGGAGACAAAGGAGGGGAACTGTTACAAATTAAGAGACTTAAGACAGTAGCAACAAACGTACTTTGTGAACTGTGTTTAGATTCTGATTCAAACAAAACAACTGATATTGATACAATCAGGGAAAATTGAACATAGACTGGTTTTACATTATATTAAGAAATTATTTTTAATTTTTTTGGTTGTGATAATGGATTGTAGTTATATTTTTTTGTTTTTATCTGGTAGAGATACACACTGAAATATTTATGAGTGAAATGATACGATATCTGTTAGTGCTTTAAAACACTCTAGCAAAACAAACAAACAAAAGGGAGCAAAGGGATGAAACAGAATGGCAGAGTATTGCTAATTATTGAAGCTGGATAATAGTTACATGGAGATTCATTAATGGCTAATCGTTCTAAATTAGTATGTAACTGGTCATGTTGACATCCATTCCAAGTTTTTTTAAACAATGTTAAGTCAAATCACCAGTCTGTAGGCTGAATTCAGTCCCCAAGATGTGTATTGTGCAAAGGTACAGAAGCTTAGGCTGAAGGTAGTTCTAAAGTCATCCCCTTGAAGTTACTTGCAAGGTTTCCACATTTTTAAAAACCCTTATATTAGTTTCTTTTTTGTGGTTTGTCTCTTTCTTCTAAAACTCAAGTGCCAGGGCAAATTCTAGTCAACTAGTGTTATCCAATTAGTTGGTGTCCACTTTTTTGTAGCTTTACTCCATTTAGTTTGAAAGGAAAATGGGGTGGGGGCAATGACAGTTTCATGGTTCCCCAACCAAAATATTTCTGTCTAATATGATCACACTGAGGTCAGCCAGTTTTCCCAGAGTGCAACATTTCCACTGCAATCAAAGGAAACCTGTAGGACAATTCTATCAACATTATCATTTAGCACTGATCAGGTAAAGGATTTTATATATAGGATCTCATTTTATTCTCACAAGAACCTTTGAGTCAGATGCTATCATTATCCTCATTTTACAACTAAGGAAATGAAGTCTCAGAGTGATGAAGTAACCTGACAGTTGTAAGTCAAGAAGCAGGGCTATGAATCCAGGTTTGTCAGACCATAAAGCCCATGTTCTTATCTGCTATGGGATACTGGCTCTGTCCCTTCTGTTCATTCACTTGCTCATTCATTACACATTAAGTTAACTTTGACTCTGTGCCAGGCACTGGGGACATAGAAATGAGTGAGGCATCATCTTGCCCTTGAGAAATGCTTCACAGAGGTTGTGACATTTGAGCTGGGTCTTAAAAGATGAGTAGGAACTTGGCAAGGGGATCCCTGGAGAAAAGTCATTCATAGCAAAGGCATGGAAATGGGAGGGGGTGCAATGCGTTCAGAGAATGGATAGTCAGGGTGGCCACAGCAGAACAGATAAAGGCAAGGAGAGGTGGTGGTTGTTCCATTCATTTAATCAACATGAATTTATTAGTAGCCAAGTGTTTGGTTGGCATTGTGTTAAACCCCAAGGAATGTAGAGAGAAATCAGGTGTGTTCTCTACCATCAAGGAACCATGATAGTACCCGTGGAGAAAGCAAATGCTAAGAATTTTGCTCTACTAATTGGATTATAGACTTGAATTCTTATTTATTTCATTTATTTACTTCCATTTATTTTAGACCTTAGAAAATTAGTTGAACTTTTTCTCTACAAAACAAAAAAAAAATAAGTATTCAAAAAAGTTATTTGAATTTCAGAATGAGAAGATGCTGTATTTTTCCTCCTCTGCCCTTTGAAATATGTGCTATTAAAATATGAAGCTTCTCACAGCAACCAAAGTACTATGGTAATAGATGAATATTTATAAAGATATGCAGAAAGGTGGTAATTTAAGTTTAAGAAGGCTGTACTCACAATTTATTTTATCTGGTCAAAAAATATTCATCAAAGCAAAGTTCAAAAGAGAGGAAGAAATGTTTAGGTAGTTTCAAAAGAAGTTAGAATACAGACATAAAATGATGAACGTGTCCCAGCTAATAAACATTTTTAGATAATGATTATGTCACAGCCAAGATGTACAGTAGAAAGCAGGGCTCATCTTGAGTCAGCATGATGCGATCAAGAGCACTAAGGAAAATCAAGAGATTTGAAATCTTATGCTAGCTTGTAGCAAAGTTAGTTAAAATTTCTGGATTTCTGTTTCCTGAGACTGAAAAAGAATAGATTTTAACTATGATTTGTGAATCAGTAAACTATAGATTAATACAGAATATTGTAATTATTTTCTCCTCCTGTGTAATTGAGGCATTTGAAGCAAAAGATCTCTAGGGCCTCTTTCAGTTCAGTCATTGTGTGCTTCCTACTTTGAAACAGAAAAGAAAAGCCAAATGCAAACTTGAGCTTCTTAAATATTCTAAAACAGAAACAAACCCATCCCAGGTTCCATGTGCCCTGCACAAATGTGACTGACAAAGCAGGTTACTGGAGGCTGAAATCGAGCCCCTGCTTAGCTGAGGGAGCTTGGTAGCTGGACACCTTGGTCAACCCAGAAAAGGGAGCGCCTATGTGTGATGTGCACCAAGGTCCTATGTGCTAGCTGTGGCCCTCTCCAACCTGAATGTCCACCAATAGAGAAAGAGAATATTGTGCATCCATTCAAAGGTAGTGTTCATGAAGATGTGTAATAACCTGGGAGCTCTTTGGGTAAATAGAGTATAGGAAGCTGTGGTAGGTTAAACAAAGTTCCCCAAAAATTCATGTCTACTGGAACCTCAGAATGTGACCTTATTTGGAAATAGAGTCTTTAAAGATGCAATCAAAGTAAAGAGCAAGTGACATCATACTGACTTAGGTTGGATCCTAAATACAATGACTGGCATTCTCATAACAAAATGAAAGGAACAGAGAGACACCCAGAGTCATAAGAAGTAGGCGATGTGAACATGGAGGCAGAGATTGGAGTGATGTGTCTAAAAGCCAAAGATTGCTGGCAACCACCAGAAGCTAGGAGAGAGGAATGGAACAGACTCTCCCTCAGAGCCTCCAGAAGGAACCACCCTGCCAACACCTTGATTTCAGACTTCTGGCCTCTTGACCTGTGAAAGAATAAATTTCTGTTGTTTTAAGCCAGCCAGTCTATAGTAATTTGTTGTGGCGGCCCTAAGAAACTAAGACAGAGGCCATGGCAGCCCTAAGAAACTAAGAGGCCATGCGTTTTAGCGGCTAAGAGTATAGCTCTAGAGTCAGGTACAAGTTACTTAACCTGCTTGAACCTCAGTGTTCATATCAGTAACATAGTAATAAAAGCAGTATCTGCCTCACAGCATGTGACAATTAAAGGAAGGAATGCATCTAAGGTGCTTAGCTGGTCTATACTAAGAATGGAATAAATCATCACTATCATGATGTTGATGATGCTGATACCTATACCACAGCTGCTGCAGCTGATGGTGGTGATGATGGCAATACTCCAATGGAATACTATAAGGGAAAAAGATACAAAGCTCTGTGTGTGTGTGTGTGTGTGTGTGTATTTCCTAAGAGTAATACAATGTTTAAATATATGATGTGTGTGCCTGTGTGTATTCAACACATATATTCAACCCATC